CTTGTTTGAGACAAGCGAGACCTGCGCAGACCTGCGCAATTTCGATCAACGTCTTGCTCGTACGTTGCATGATGGTTAGTCATTTTGTCCGACTTGCTCTGGAGGCTCGCCTACTTGAGACGTTGAAATCTCGCGGGACAAAGACGCCCGCAGCCTTGAGAGCGAGGCGCGGCGAGGCGGCGCAGTTCCTCTCCACGGGCTGCGGAAGCGAAATGCTTGATGGGAAACGACTCGCTGGTATCTCGAGCTGAGCGCTCATTGGTGGTTTTTTCCACGTGCTGGTGATGAAACTCTCCAATTGGCTGGCAAAATGTTGTTGTTGTTTTGTGTCAGTTTTACGTCGCCACTTCCATTCACATTTTTCATCATTGTTCCACAATATTTATCATCATTAAATTAATATCCATATATTTTATACTATACTTGCACTGCTTACCGTTTTCATACTTTATATATCTTAGCATATTCATACACACTGTTCATACTGCTCTCAGGCTGCTGTGTATATCTAGTGTATTCATACCCCTCACTGTTTATTCATCATTCAATTCATTCTATATTTTATTCTGTAGATGTGTACATTACTTTTCACTTTACTGCTTGTTGCACCTGGTTAGAAGCTCAACTGCATTTCGTTGTCTCAGTACCTGTAATATGTGCAATAACAATAAAGTTGAATCTAATCTGGAGCAGGAACAAATGTATTTACTTAGTACATATCTGACATTAACGATTAAACACATGTGTGCATTCTTTATAAATGCAAACCGAGTCAAGCCGACTCCGGAGGTGGCGGTATGCACCTTAAAGTTGTTTGCAATCCGCCAAAAAACCGAGAGAAGAAGAAGACGAAGCCGACTCCGAGCATGGACTCCGAGCTGTCCGACTTCAGGCGAGCTTTTTGAGACCTCCCCCGGCTGCGATCGGCTATTCTCGTCTACTTTCGAGGCGAGCCGCAGCTCGTCTCAAACAAGCCTATTGACTGTATGATCAGTATGACAGATGAGCAGCTCGCCACTGGGCTTTCAACTAAAGACACAGCCACGCAAAAACTGCGGCATGTGTACGGCTCCTTATGGGTTCTGCAATTTTTGAAGTGCCGGAGCCGCGTTCTGGTGCTCTCCGTCAGAACTACACCCCTGTCAGACGAGACATATACATACCACGTGATGACACGATAGGCTCGTGTTGTGTTCAAGGACCCTGGTCAGGAAAAACAGGCACTCGCTTGTTTAATTCTTTTGCGGTCTAGATTTCTTACTTTTTTTTCTTTTTTGCGTGTGTTTATAAATTACCTCGAGGGCCGTACCAAATTGTCTCGCGGGGCCGGAGGTTCCCCACCCCTGCTTTAACCCAAATGAGGTGATTATTTTACAGTAATCAGAAAATAAATAGCTTTTTGCCTTTCTATACCAAAAAAATAGAACGTACCAATACACGTGTCTTTTTCTAACTCAAAAGGAACATTTCAATGTAATGCTAATTTACAACTGTTTGAACTAAACAAAACTGGGATTTTGATGTTGTTGTCGTAATGTGCGGTCAGGTTAACGTTATGGGTCTGGACTGTTTACAAACTTCTGGGGGTTCAAATTATCCCGAGGGCCACGAACGCACCATTAAATTAATATATTTTTCTGATGAACCAGGATGACATTTATTTAATATTGGTTTAAAGAGTACATGTATATCCCACTGATGCTAAATTGAAGGAGACATTAAAAACGAGACGGTAGAAGATACAGTTTGAACGCTACAGGACAGTTAGCATCGCTAGCTAACGGTAGACCTTAAAGCTTAAAACGGTAACTAGCTAGTTTATTGGCTTTTTAATAATTTAAAGTAGATATAATATTTAATTCCACGGTATTTAACTTCGTCGAATGGAACTTTGTGAGGATGGACAGCTTCAAAGTGAATCCACAGATATAAATGCGTGTGGAACTGAGTGTGATGTGGTTCTCCGGGCTGGCAGCGACCATCCCGTGACCTGCGACCCGAGAACCCTGCACAACCTGACGGCCTTAGAGAAGAGCTGTCCGCTGCCCCCGTCCTGTGGCAAGGTGCAGACAGACATCGAGCCCCACATGCGGAGGATACTGGCAGTATGGATGTTTCAGGTGTGCAAATCAGTCATAAAAGTTCAAGTGTATCTCAAATTGTTATTAGTGATGACGTTGATTTTGTAATTTCATATCAGGAATAGCCTATCTGACTTTGTATCCTCAAATAAAAAAATAAAAAGTCTATATATCTCTCGTAGCTGACTTTAAAAGCAACATATGGGTGTTTTGTAGGTGTGTGAGGAGCAGAAATGTGAAGAAGAGGTGTTCCCATTGTCGGTGTATTTGCTGGACTGTTACCTGAGCCGCTTCGCCACTGAAAAGTCCAACCTGCAGCTTTTAGGGTCTGTTTGCATGTTCCTGGCCTCCAAAATGAGACAGACTGTCCACCTGACGGCCAGCACGCTTTGCATCTACACAGAAAACTCCATTTCAGTTTCAGACATCCTGGTAAGTATACCTAAACTTCGTGTAGTAGTGACTTATCACTACTGTATACCCTACTGTACATTTACCCATAAGCAATGTAGCAATGTAGCTAGCTTGGGCTATGGGTTTAAAAAATATTCAGGCCTACCAGTCATTGGAACCAAATCCAAAATAGGCCTGTCAGAATAACTACATTTGTTGGACGATATATATTTTCCTAGAAATAAAGCCTATAAACACTATTACTTTCATTCAAAACAAATCTATGCCAGTGATAAGCATAATATATCATGGTATAATACTGCAAGTATACTCTTTCAAAGAGCAATGAACTTTTCATAATAATATTCAGTGATTTGGGATCCAATTTAACAAATAATCAGATAAATAGAAATATATATGATAACACAATTATCATCAAAGGCCCTATGCCAAAGATATTGGATACCCAAATATACAATTGATCCCACTGTCCAGTGGGATTCCCTCAGATGTTAGACATAGCTTTGTCTTATGTGTCTGTGTGTGTGTGTGTGTGTGTGTATTTGTGTGTGTGTGTGTGTGTGTGTGTGTTTATGTCAGCGGTGGGAGGTGGAAGTTGTGTCCAGGTTAGACTGGTGTCTGGCGTCTGTGGTACCCTCTGACTTCCTGGAGCCAGTTCTGCACGCTCTCCCCTTTGTTCAGCCCCACCACTTTCCTAACATGCGCAGGCATGTTCACTCCTACATTGCTCTGTCAGTCACTGGTAAGTTCCCTATCGAATACAAGATGCTTTTTTCCCTAATAAAGTACACTAGAAGAGAATATGCATCAGCAGTGGATGCAAGTATTTTGCCATATATATATAAATATCTCTCTGTTCAATTATTTCTGTGCCTAATAATAAGGCTATTGTAGCAATAAAAGTAGGATTTTATATCCCTTGTCATACAATCAGTGATAAAAAAAATGGAAGTGAGCATTTAATGTAACAGTGAAAGAAAAGTCTTTCCACACTGTGGACAATGGACACAAAGCAGCCATAACTTTGATTACGATGTGTCAGCAGTTCATTTAGGAGACAAAGAGCTGAGTTTGTGTAATCCTGTATTGTCTGCTGTTAAAGACCAGCGTCCAACTATTCAGCTAGATGATTTCCCACGAATCTCTGTGGTGCTGCCCGAGGCAGCAGGTCACAGGGATACGTTCAGTTTAGTGCTGTTTTAGACTATGATGTTACAGCGCATACAATTAAGACAATTCCTGGCTCCCGACAATGTAACTCTTTTAAAAAGGTGTCTGAGCGAGGATTGAATATCTAATGCTTCGTCTCAGTGTATCTCCTGCCTGAAGCAATTAGGATAATCAATCACATTATCAGGTTTTGGAAAATGTCTGCTTTTGTCCATCAGGGTGTGTCTACAATGGTGGCATCTGTTTGAATGCCAACTGCTAGCCTTGTCTATTTAAGCACCTGCTGCAATAGTCTACAATACTTTAAGTGAACAACAATTGCCCATCATAATTAGTAAATTAAGTGTGATTAATTTTAAGGTAAGTTATATCCCTCTCTTTTCCTCAGACGGCAGGTTTTCAGTGTTCTCTCCTTCCACTGTTGCATGTGCCTGTGTGAGCATTGCCACACAGAGGCTACAGTTATCGGACTCCTCTGATTCAGTGATGACGTTTTTGGCCAACCTTTTGGTCATTGATCTGGTAAGGGTCATATTTAACTGACATTTGTCTATAATATTTTTTGGGACTTTGCCCTATTGTCAACATTGTCGGGAATGTTTGTGATCATTTTAGAAAGCACTCTGATAACAGTCTTTGGGAAAAATAAATGTTTGAAATTTGTTTAGAAGAGTCAGTTATCATGTACATGGATTATTAGTCAATATCCATAGAAAGAAAGTCTGTCCCATTGATGAACTTATGCTTGTGTCCCTGATCATGAACAGAGCCCTGTCCTCCTCTGCTATGAGCAACTGGGCAGTGTGTTGGAGCTCAGCCTACCCTCTGGTTTCCAGGCAAGTGTTAGCAGATCAGGAGCAAACAGCTGAGAGATCAGCTACACCCCTACCGTCTTTCAGGATGCTGTATTGACACCAGTGACATCTCCCCAGGAAATCCATCTCAAGCACTCCTCCCTGACATGACAGGCTAAAATGAATTATAGATGCATGTACATGTAGAAGAAAGAGCCGAAATATCAAGATAAATGTTTCTAAATGCCATTTCTCTTTTATCATAGTTGTTTGAAAGTTCCTTCTGCGACATGTAGAGCTTTTACAGTTTGAGATTGCTTTTGTTATATCTACTTTTCAAATATATATTTAGCATTCATCTTGATTAATTGAAGATGTGATGACATTTTTATATCTGGACAGTTCTAATGATTTTGAAAAGATGTTTTCAAAATCACACTATTGAATTCCCTTGTGGCTTTTATCAATATTCGGCAACATAAAAGATGTTGTAAAAAAACCAAAACATTTGCATGTGGGTCAAATAAAACAATATCCAGCATTCAAGTTCTCAATTTTTTTTTATTGATTTCCTCATCCCAGGCATAACAGCATGGCATATCACACGGTCATATAAACGATAAGCCCAGTAACTTTGGCAAACAGGGTTTGTTGCTGTTAAAGAAAATAATATTAACAGAACCTGCAACTTCTGGGTCAAGGGGGAAAGATAAACAGTAATGAAATGCCCAAACGCACTTTATATATTGTACAAAAAAAATGAAAGATACCATTTTAGACCCGTCTTCCTCTGTGTCACACATCAAGAATAAAATATTCCGATTTCTGTGACAATAGAAATGAATGACAATAACTTCCAGTTGAAATAAGGCAGTTTACATTTGTATAGGCTTTACATTCCTGATCAGATTCTTATTTTGGCAAAGAAATAACCATAAATAACTGAAAATATACACATTTTACCATTCCAGTTCCTTAACAAAAGCATGGCTTTGCAGCATCTGGGTACTGCAACTTATTATACAATAACTTAATACTTCAATTATAGCTGATAAATACATTGTATGCATCAGGTTTCCATGGGGGGATAGTGCGGAAATGTTCCAGGCCTGGGTTTATGTTCTAATTTAATCCCAGCAGGCCAATCCAATTAAGCAACTGCAGCGTGACATTTCATACAGAAAGAAAGAATCCCTTTTTCCCTGATTACCAGGAGGCCATTCATAAAGCAGGAGTTGGAACCAGATAACGTGTCAAACTTAATGATCCTTATCAGCATTTATAAATCACAATTTTACAATTGTACATTTGGAAACATAATGCTTTATTAGTTTAAGGACACACTTCTAATCCGGCTTTGTGAAATACTGTACCACCGCTCGTGTCAAGATATTTAAATTAAAATGCATACACCTGAGCTCCATGACTGATCTTGTACATTCAGTTGAAGGGCTATACATTGTACACAACCTAGAGGAGAGAGCTGGGGCACCATTTTCAGAATTTCAACTTGTGACCTGCAAAACTTTCAAAAAAACTTACGTAAGCCCCACCTTTCCTGTGAAACTGCCACCTGCACACAGAGTGAATGACCTGTGCTGTTGTGCTCAGGAGCCAAAAGCAGGTTCAACTGGTTATGCTCAATGTGAGTCATATGCGTCATGATTATCATTCAAGTATTATCCAAACTCGAAACAAGTAATTTCAAGAAGAAAAAAAACAACAATTGAAAAGAAATGCTCTTTGAGAGCTGAAGTCCCTGTTACAAACAAATGTTCCTCTTGGAACTTTTTTATATTGCTTTGAATAAAGACAAACAAAAAAAGTCCAATGACAGCAAATTTCATCTTTGGTATCCATGAAATGTCATTTTCCTCATACCCAAAGCTCAGTTAAAGCTGTAAAATACCCATCCTAGCATTACATCTAGTCATTATTGCTTAAAAAAAGAGTGAAGGTTCACGGATTATCAGCTGTTAAATTGTAAACACTTTATCAAACTGTCCTGTGGAGAATAAAATACACTTACTCTGTGGCTTAAGCAATATTCAAATAACCGCTGACTGTTAGTCAGTTTTTTTGTCAATTGTCACTGAGCAAAGTGTTTAACACACTGTTTTTGACGTAGTAGACCAGAGTTTTTGACCCACATCAGCTTCTTTCACTGAGGTTCTTTGAAATGGAAATGTTTAACTGCAGCATCATTCTTATAAAAATACTGTGCCATCTGGTTATTTATAGCCTGTTTTACTCAAATTACAGGCCCCAATCACCATACAATACAATTGGATGTTTAACAAGAAACCTCTTGTGTTTTTGGTACTGTGCAAATCCCTGAAGTTAGCTGATCATTATTACTAACATTTACTAGTGATTTCGCTTAATGCACTTTGGCTTTTGAGTATTCAGTAGTTAGCTGTTCGTCAAAACTTCTGAAAAACAAGTCTTTAGTCAGTGTTCTTCAATAATAACTGGACTTCAGCTTGCTGCAGAGCCTCGTGTAACCACGGCCTGCTTGTAAGCCTCTGTAACATTATCGCAGTCTGTGATGGAAAAGGCACTGTCAGCCACTCCAGCCTCGTAGCAGTTCCAGGACCTCAGTGGCCCGGCCCCCAGCATCCTGTCTTCTTTGATATCCAGCAGGTTGTCAGCAGACACACATCCTCTCAAGCTAGGCTTGGCTGGTGTTTCCACTTGTGCTGGATGTCGTACATGGTCTGGCAGATCCAGCTGGTCAAAGGACTCAGAAGACAGAATGCTGTCCTCGCTGATGGCGCCACTCGGCCTCGACCTGGCGCCTGTGCACGGTAAAGAAGCTGCCAGCTGGTCCAGAGAGCCAAACTCCTGCAGCCTGCCGGAGGAGAACTTTCCATTGCGCTTCAAAATGCCTTTCTTATGGGTTGGTGCTGAAGGGCACTCTTTAGTTTGTGGTGCCCAGCCAGAATCACTGTTGTCAGGAGAGGAGGAGTAGTACCCGGACTCGTGCTCGGTGGGCTTCTTTAGGATACCTTTGCGGGGCAGCAGTGTAGCCGAAGGAGCATTAGCCGAAGGAGCATTAGCCGCTGTAGCATCACCCAACATTTTCTGAGGCTCCACTGGACTTACAGCAGGGGCTTCACTCAGGGCCTTCTGTTTCACACTGTTGCGCCTCTTTAAAATACCCTTATAGGGGCGACTGTCTGTGCTTACTTCATGAATGCTCTGGGAGACATTGTTTTCTTTTCGTGACCTTCGCAGAGAGCGCTGCCGGACTACATCCCCGCCCGGCGAACGGAGCAGGCAGCGCATCTTGGAGCCATTCTCCAGCAAAGGTCTTGATGTACGGCGCAGCCAACTAGCAATGCTAGCCAGCCCAGCAGGGTGTGATGTGGAGGGGGAGGCTGGTGAAGGGGTCTGCTCTAGTGGACTGCTTTTTGTTTCGGCCAGTAATGGCTGCTGGTAGCCCCAGTTAAGCCACCAGTGTCCTGCAATCTCCTCTATTGTGGCCCTGCGCTCGGGATTTACCATTAGCATCCAACGTATAAGCCCACATGCATCTAAGAGGAAGAGCAATCGAGAAAAGAAAACCTGTTAATCTTTCCATTTTAATCCAGACCATGACTAGAATAAAAAGTTGAGATGAAAGACTCACCAGAGGGGTTGGTGGGTTTACGATAGTTTCCAGTGCTGATCTGTTGGACCAATGCCTTGTGGTTGTTTCCATCAAATGGCATGGTGCCGTGAACCATCGTGTACAACAGCACACCAAGAGACCAGGTGTCCACCTCCGGCCCACGGTAAGGCCGTCCATTGACGATCTCCGGGGAGGCGTACAGAGGGCTGCCGCAGAAGGTCTGGAGAAACTCATCACGCTGGTAGAGGTTGGACAGGCCAAAGTCTGCAATCTGTGAGAACAAGAAATATACATTAACCTGAGAAACATAGTATTTTCATTAGATCAGAGTAGAAAGAAAATGTGGTATTAATAGATTATCAATATTACACCTGATAAAAGTGTTAATTATCCAGTGGCACGTTAATAATTTATGTTCCTTCTGTTCTTGCTCTACCTCCTTCCCCAAACAACCCACACAAAATGTGTGTAATTAATTTGCCAAAAGAGAGAGAAAAAAAAGTATTCTGTCAGATATTATCATACAGTTTATGGATATTACACATGTCCTTTATATCTTTACACAAAGCACCATCTGCTGTCATATATAATCTAAACTAACACAGATGATATAACCTAACACTGCAGACTTTTATACCCATGTGTGTAAATGTGTAGTTGTGTTGGTTGGAACTTGTCCCATAAACATACCTTCACGTTGCCGTTGCCATCTAGTAAAATATTCTCCAGTTTCAGGTCTCGGTGTACTATTCCATTCTGAGAGGGAGGGGAAATAAAGATATTAGTTTTTTGAATTTTAAATGATAATGTCTCCACCCGGGCCATTATGCACCAGTTTACTGGAAGTGGTCTTTTTCCTATAAAAGGATCAGTCACTCATTACTGGGACAGAACACATTCTTTTCTGAGATTTTGTTCTGGTACATCAGCTGTGCTTCATTGTCCTCCGCTCTGTAGGGGGGCATGCCTTTGACTCGAGGACAGCCTGAACGTGTTGCTCTCGAACATGCAGGTCAACTACTTCTGCTGCTTGTAGCAACGGATACATTATGTTTGAAGCCTTTAGTAATTGTTAAGTTGCAGTCATAAAGAAACTATTGCGTGCAGTACTTTATAATTCATCTCGTTTACCATAATATAACCAATTTTTAAAAGATGGCTATGTTCAATCAATGTATAAAGTAACATGGAAAATTAAACATTTAACGAGACGTCATCAGCACTCATTAAAAGTGAAATGAGACAGATGGTTAGCACAAAATATGACAGGGCAATTCACTCTGTAAATACTGTCTAGCAAACCTGTAACAGCTCTGCAAAGTGCTGAACTGCTACAATAAAATATAGTGTGTTGTAAAAACCACAACTGATTATGTGTGTGTGTGTAGCCTTTCTGTTCCATCACACCCTCATTAAGAGTGTCAGACCGTGCATGTTGTGTGTGTTGGGTCGGTTGACCTTTAGCCCTGACGCTAGCTCTCTGCAGACAAACTGTTCATTTCCCCCTGCATCGTTCTCACAGCCTCCCTGTGCAGATCAGCAGGCGCACACTGAATAATGCCCATTATGTAACTTTGGGGGTGCCGCTGCCCTGGAAAAAAACAATGAGCGAAGCAGCTAGTCTGAGTGGGGCTCTGCGTCATCAGCTTTAACGTACTGTAGCAGCCACGCATGATGGGAACTGAGATAGATACCATAGATAATATACCTACATTTTGTTTTTCAAAACTTGATTCCAATGTCCCATGATTACATCTTCTGTAAAAGAAAACAATGTGCTCTGTATAAAATGATTGGATTATGAGAGACTGCCCTACCTGATGGCAGTAGTGCACAGCAGATACAATCTGTCTGAAGAAGCTCCTGGTGTCCCGCTCAGAGATGCTCCTCTTGTCACAGATGTAGTCGTACAGGTCTCCCCGGCTGGCATACTCCATCACTATCACAATTTTGTCTTTGTTCTCAAATACTGAAACAAAAAAAAACACCTTTTATTTAGGATTTCATATTCAACTAATCACCCTAATGGAACTGAATGATCTGGACTGATCAGTACGAACACACACTGTATGTTCAATTAAGGACGCATTGAAAGGAACTACAGAACTTCCTTTAGCCCCTATTTCACTCCTCCGATTAGGATAAACAGGGCCCCATGATGATTGTATTGTAATCAAACATGCACTGAAGTGGACAAACACTGAATGATGGCTATCTGATCAGGCGTGAGAGGCACTGGAAGACACAAGGCCTGCACATTATCCCACAGCGCTGACAGGGTATAAACCCTTATGTAACGTAGCATCTTCTGCACAAAAGACTTGCGTGACCAAACTCTGAATCTCAAACAAAGACTGTTTGAGAAATCTTTTCAGGTATCACTTTTCACGCTGCATGCTGGAGATTCAGTTACGATGTAAACGATGAAACTACACACAAAAAGCATCACATTTTGCATACTGTACCTTCATATATGGTGATGATGTGCGGGTGGCAGAGTGAGGACATGATCTCAATTTCTCTGCGAATGTGAACCAGGTCTTGCTCATCTTTGATCTTCTCCTTTCTGATCGACTTTATGGCAACCTGAACAAAGACAAAATGAAAATGAATCTATTTTTACTTACTTGCAGGGAATATTCAATAACATTTTACAGCTTTAGTTTTCTAGGAGAGTCAAATATTTTCTTTAAAAGCCACTGTGTAATAATCATCAGCTGCTGTGGCCACAAGTAATAATTTCAGAATAATGGTAAACATTAACACACAGTGTAGCCGGAGCACAATTTTGGAGGAGTCCTAAAAACAATAAACCGTCTTTGTAGTGTTAGTTACACAGCAATAATCATTTTTAATGGTTTGCCAACATAAGCCTCAATGAGATACTTGTCAAACCAGACGAGTGAGGCTGCATACTGAAATGCACAAGGGTGTGTTTCATTGGTAATTAATCCAAATTTACAGTTGGAAGAATACACTTAAGCATTGCAATATTATGTTTTGGGACGCTGTATCCACTCTTAAAAACAATACATATATCTAATAGATTTCAGGCAAATATTTATGGCAGACAGCGGCTCAGACTGCAGTAAAACTGTCATACATGCAAATCTCACTCTTCTGATTGCATAAAACACCTTTTTCTTTAAAATGATTTCCTAAAAAAAAAAAATCACAGTCGCATGATATCAGCTTGCTTATTATCTCAATATATTTAATGTAAATCCTGAATCGTATCGTATCCCCAGATTCTTGCCGAAGTCTTTTTCTTGGTGCCATGTCTGCCATTTTGGCAATAGTTTCGTTTTTTTAAGAACTCCTATTCATTCTGCCTTCAATAAGACTAGCCTTCCGTCTGAGGTATGTCCTCTTGGGAGAGGAACAATGGGCAGTGAGCCGTAAATTCTGCTCCGGGTCAACTATTGTGTGCTGTAATGAAATCCATTGTCTGCTGTTACGTCTGTGAGACTCATACAGAAGAATATAGAAATGTAAATCTGAACAGTATCTGTTGGGGAGCTTTTAACTTGTCTGTATGTCTTCATGTTGTGTTTGAACCCCAGATGCCTGAGATTCCTCTGTGCACCGAGTGCGTCATCAGACTACCCCGACGCTGAAGGGTGTCATGAGGCACCAGGAGGGCAGCAGTGGTGGGGTGTCCTTGTTTTCTCTCCTTTCAAACCCCTGAGGCTACAGACACGAGGGAAGTGAGTAAAGCAGTGACTTGTCATATCAGTCCCAACACACAACTGTCTCCCGTCATGAGTCACCGTCTGGCCTCGGCGCTCCTCCGGGTCAGCATGGTGTCCACACCACATAGCTTTCTCCCCGATTCTGGGAACCGTGGTTTCCTTCTTTTGTTTGCACAGCTTTCAGACGGGCTGGACTCCCACTCATGATGAGTTCACACCCCTGTGCAGTTATCCCTGTGTGTGCAGTCTTTGTAACGGTCAGCATGTTCCACGCAATAGGCACTGAGGTCTAAAACTTTGAGTTCCTGTACGAATAAACCCATATTCTTCGCACTTGAACAACAATTTGAGGTGTAACTGTTGCATAGCTAACTAAGCCAACTGGAAGGGCTAGTGTTAGCTTGTGGATATGTATGATTCATTTAAAGCGAAGAGCAAAATAAATATAATGTATCCTCTCCCCCGACACATTGCATTTCACATTAATACGAATATTCCCGAAATAACTAAACCCATTTCAATATAAACCAAAATAATCATTAGGGTTAGTTACGTACCCTTTAGTGAATATCTCCGACTGACCTAATACGCATTAACATTATAAGTTAACTTTGAAACCATACACATTTGCCCATGTATGCACACATAAATAAAATACCTTAATTAACAAAGCATTGGCAGTTAATTGTAATATATTCTTTCCCCTACTACAACTAGTATTAATAGTAGTTAGGTTTCAGTTGAATACTTTTATTGGGCAAAACTATGGATTAGAGCTGAAACCAATGAGAGAAACTTATCATTAAACATTCTGATGATTAATCATTCATATACCATTTTCCTAGCAAATAATCCAAGTTCCTGGTTCTTATTTTGCTGATTTTCTTTGAATTTGTGTTTTTGGGGAATTTTTATAGACCAAGAATTAATAACGACAATTTATTGCAGCCCTACATTTCATATTTACTCACTACTGCTTTACATTTTTCCATAGGCATTTACTTGCTTAATTTGTTAAATGTAGTAACAACTAGTTTGAAACTAGCTAGTTGCCACTGAAGACTTAGAAGAGACTTTGCCCTCAGTAATAGATTTGTAAATACCTTGTGAAACCCTAAAAAAGTGTTAAGTAACAGATGCACATTTAGAATTCATGTCACGCAGCGATGTGTGCTGAAACCTCCAACCTAAGTGGGTTATGTAATCAAATCATGCATGTAGATAATGGGAACAGCTGTAGTGCCAACGCACGCAAGATGAAGCCATCCTTTGTGCCGTGTCCCTCCCCGTGTCAAATTACATATCTTTGTCCGTTGTGTTGTCAATACTAAAAGGTAGGTGGATAAAAACAACACAGGTGAATGTTTCTCCGTTCTATGTTTACTGCCGTTTGAGCCGTACTGAATTCAAAACATACATGTTTGAACACAGGTTTCAGGCAGGACTATAACAAGGTAGCTGCCTTCAGGGATCAATTTCAGACACCAACTTATATCCTATAAAAGCAAAGTGCATCAGCAGCGGGAAGTCGTGTCACAGCAGAGATTTTGTTGGTAGACAAGGCTGAACCTGTATCACTACTTGTTTACTGCAGGTACAAAGGGGGAATTCCTGACTAACTTCCTTGACTTCCAAGCGCTTTCACTCATGATCGTTTAACACAGAGTATTTCTCATAAACATCACCTGTCAGCTGAGCCCAAATTGCTGGCAAAGAGACTTCATTTCCAGGCCAAGTATCTGTTTTGGTTTTTTTGATGAGTCACTATGCCTTTTTTTTTAAAAATAGGTGTGCTTTTTGTTTTAAATACTTTGCCTATAATTTGCATTTCTTGTTGCAGATACTACACTATGGAAACAAGAATATACGATCTAACAAATTGTAGATTATTGATAGAGGAACATATTGTATTACGCAGACTCGATTGCCTGTTTATAAATCATAACTAGTGAAACCAAATGCGGTAAAAAGCAGATGCCCTACAGTAAACCTTCAAGAAGTCATTCGTTTTTGTTTTTAGAAAGGTGGTAATTTGCTCTTTATGGCCATTATATATGCAGTTAAATTGTATTGCATTGTACTGAGGTGTTACTTACTGTAGATTTAGTCTACCATCATTCATAAACAGGTAATGCACTTGTAGACATTTAAGAATACAAGCACTTCTGATGCAAGAAATAAGTAAAACACGATCTAATTTGGATACACTATAGCATTTGTTTTTATCTTTCAACAAAAAAGGCATTTCCATGTGTTTGCCAACTCCTCCCAGTGCCTCAGGGTTATCTCTGTCAAGTCTGTTTTAAATTCCTCCCATTTCCCCTTAGGTCCCAGGGAACTGGAATTCACCTAAACTGCTAGTGGCTGCTATTTCCCCATCCAGCTTTATCACAAAAAGTTACCTAACTTTCCTGTTTAAATAGCTGAGACAATGTCACACAACCTTTCCAACGAAACGCCTTTCCTTTATTCTCTTAATGCCAAAGAGGGGCCAAAAGGAGGTGACTTATTGTGCAGTGACAGCATTACAGGATCCAGGGTGATCTTGCACACACGTAGTGATTTGTTTTCAAACGATCTGTTTTAGTACATCACAAATAACTTATTCATAGGTTTATCTCACACACAGGACCATCCATGTGTGAACTGGTATCACAATGTGAAAATGTAGATTTTACTACTTACTACCTACACTACTTAATTATTATTATTCTCATTTTTATATTATTATGATTATTACGAGGTTAATGATTTGCTATTAGTTCAAACAAAGGACTAACATTGCAAAGTACAAACAAAGTGTCAACCAGAGGTTTTGGTATCCACTGATACAGTTGGTCAATCAATCAATCAATGTTTATTTATATAGCCCAATATCACAAATGTTGGTGAGAATACAATGTTAAGATTAGTATAAGGGTTGCAATTTAGCAAATATTAAAATAAACATCGTATTCAGTGATCTAATCAGAAGCAAGGACTTGACATAGCTTTCAGAAAAACTATGAGAAAAGTAAGAGCAGCCCCCCTAAAACAAACAGTGAAGTCTGAGGGCAAACATTAGCTGGTTTGTCAACTTACAAAGAAATAACCGCAGCAGACACAAACATACCTCCTTTATTAGTTTGTAATTATTTACAATGAGAAACTGGAAGCCAGCCTTGAATAATTTATATCCATATTATGTGTGCAAACATTACAGCTCTCTATCGCTAAGCAACATATGGCTAATGGGGCCGCAGAACAGGAACAGACTTCAATGCCGACTGTAGAGGATCAAAACAAGTATGTCAAATTGTAATTAAATAATATAGTCAGTTCTTACCAGTCTCCCGGATCTTTCCTTGGCTTTCTTCACTTTGCCGTAGGTTCCTTTCCCCAGGGTCTCCAGAAACTCGTACCTGTGTTTCAGGTTGTGTTTGTGGTGGTGTCTCTTCACGGCTTGTCTTTTCACGGTCACCTGGGACGGGGCTTTTCCAAAAACAGGAGAATTTTCGGTTGAACAAGCCCCAACAGACGGCCTAGGGTTTGACGAAAGACTGGAAACATTTAAGTCCGCCATGCTGACACAACGGTGTTGTTCTTGTTGGCTTGTTTACGGATGCAGGTGTCGTTGTTAAAGTGCATTCCCCCGTGCGGAGCTCTGCCGGCAAGTTGCTCCCAAAGGTACAGATCGGATAAAAGTGTAATCATGAACTCCTCCAACTCCGGCAGTGAGACAGAAACTAAACGCGTGTGTGTCCCCTGTGCGGCGCGGTGACCATTATCAGCAGCAGGTACACGGCGTGCTACGACACGAGCTGACCTCAGCCACGTCAAATAGTGGAGGGGCGGTTCAGGTGCACCGAGGAGCGCTTGATATGGGACACGGGGCAGCGCCGGGGAGTGTGCAATCACATATTTAGGTCCGTTTTGTGTTTCCTTGTTAAGCTTCCCAGGGAAATAATTCACACTCCAATCCAAGTGGTTGTTCAATTATGCTTCACAGTGCAAAATAATATTAGCAGCAGCAGACTGCAACATGAATGTCTTATTGATGGCAGTAGTCCGTGTACCTTAAAAGGTCCGATGGTTGGCTGTGGTGGAAATTACCTTTAAGTACTTTTACTTAACCCTTTAACTGCCAGCACCACCATTTGGTAGAGCACATTTTGCGTCTTGATATCTTGTTGGAAAAAAAAAAGTTGAACTCTATCTGATTCAGCCAGCTCTACCCTTTGGTTGACATGTTATGCACAAAACAACCTCTAGATGTCACTGTGGTTTAAACAGAATGCCCTTCAGCTAGCTTCAACTGAGAAAGTTGGCAATGCTAAAAATCACTGCTGAAGAAATCACTCTTTTTGGTCAACTTTTGTAAGGTAACCATATCCTTTTTGACATATGTTAGTGGCAGGGCACTGACTGAACATAATTAGATAACTTGATGCACAAAAAAAGTTTTAACAAGGGTGTAATTATTTTTTTGAAAATATGCTCAACCAATCGGTCGAATTGGCCTTTTATGGTAAGCTAGCAATATGACTTTTTCAGAGTTTCAGAGATGTTTTGCAATAAAATATGGTAAATAAATGGCTAGATTCATGGTAATATTACTAAATCTAGTACTGCCTTATGAGTCTCAGAGTGAAAGAGTGATAATAATTTATATAGCACCTTTCATGCATGGCATTCAGCCCAAAGTTGCACACAGATGAGCAAGTTAGGCCAACACAGGATATAGACATTTGCCGTTAGGCCAGTGGTTTCCTGTTAGGCCAATTCAGCATACACAGTAAGATGAGCAAGTATTTTTTTTATCATGAAAAACACCTTACATTACTTTTTTCCATTTTTTATTTTTTTTACAATTATAATTTATTATCTTTTATGAATATATCTGGTTGTATATATTGCTCATTTTCCATAAAAGAAACAAATGTATTTGAATTTGTGTTTTATTTGAGTTTGATGCATACTGTGCTGTATAATGATGATTGTTGAAAATGTACTTTTACCATAGAAGGCCAGCTCGACCATTTGGTAGAGGCTCATAAAAACAAAACTGTGTGGTCAGTCAAAAAAATGTGTTTGTGCTTATTTGTGGCCCATTTGATAAGAATATGCAAAAAAAAATGTGTTCCATAGCTTTTTTCTTGGTCCGGCAGTTAAAGGGTTAAGGCTACTGTAGCCTATTTATAACAACCGTGCATGTGCTAATTTACTATTCACGCATTTCCATGTATTCTACGTTATTTTACTCTACTACAGTATTATGATAACTTTACACTACATAATTAGATGACTGTGATATGAAATATTATATATTAAATCAAACTTAAAATTGGCCACACTTTAACAACCAGCAGATGTTTAGTAAATGCTTATGCATCACAACATATAATCCATTAATTTAGTATACAAAATGTTTCAAACATTTTACTGTAAAGACTTTTGAAGTATTACTTTGAAACATTTATAAAGCAGGACTTTTATTTCAAACAGATTATTTCCAAGCTGTGGCAGGCTATTGCTTCTTTGATTCAAGTAAATATGTTAGTAGTTCTAATAAGGAGCACAACATGCTCTCCCAGCTTGTGTGCTACTGATGTTATAATCGGTGTGCACAAACATGTACAACAAGCACACCACAAAATTAAAAATAGAAATGTAAGGTACTAGTTGCTTAGTTTTCTTATCCACTACAAGTCAGAGGGAGATATCATACTTTTTACTCCACAACATTAACTTGACAGCTTTGGTTACTTTATAGAATAATATGTACAACAACAAAAAACCAAAAATTAATAAAGAAAATTAAACCACCCACATTTTTTAAATTGTTCCACCTTGACCAACTACCAGCAATATTCTTTTATGCATCACTATTAACATTCTAGTGACATTTTTTATGCAATATTTTATAATTCTATTTCAATGTTTTGACATTGAAATAGAATTAACTTGTTTAGTTAAAATAAAAAAAATTAACGACATATGTACAGAGAATTGAACGCTTGACACCATTTTGCGACTTGCAATAACTGTTAAAAGAGCCACTGGAATAGCACAGTTAGAGTCACAAGCACTTACTGTTAATAAACTCAGAGATATCATTGGTATCATTATGTGAAAATACTTCTAATGATATAACTATGATATCATTTTATCCTCATCCTGATAACAAAAATCGATTCAAAAACCTTGGCTGACTTCATGGAGCTTGGATGTATGTTACCTTTTAGTCAGGTTCACCCTAACAGACAGTCTGTTGCCTACTGACCTGAGAGAAATACATTGTAGAAAAGAGCAAGTGATTGGATTATAAATGTCGTTAAAGATGTTGGCCACTGGAGGGCACCCTGCAAGTTATAAGAATGTGTTGGATGGTTTGAACCACACAGTCTATGGTTTGAACAGTTGGTTTAACCCAAATAAGACAGCCAGTGGCTCTGTCACTTATTTACCTACCTTCTGATAATAAGCACATGTTCACTGTTTAATATCCTCTTCACAATGTATTATTATTTGACACAGCTGATGAATAGATATAGAGAAATCAAATGCTCTACATCTTGAAATGTACTAAAAATAGTGGGACACATTTCCACATTATTTCCACCATAAATAAACATGATTTGTATTTTGTCATTTATGAAATCATGAGAGAGAATAGACCACTCACTAAATATTGACGCTGTTGTTTATGTAATTCGGTATGTCTGCCAGAAGAGGGGGCTCATTATTCGTATGGAGTCCTGTGCTCAAAACTGGTTATCCTTTTTCTACCTCAATAGCCCAATTGCAATGTGTAAGTTAAAGAAAACTCCAGAAAACTTCCTTACTTAAAAGTCTGAATGTGCTGACTCATTAGCTGCTGTAATTTAACACCTAAAATCCCTAATCTTTTTAATCTGATTGTATTTAACTTTGACATGGTTCAACCTTTACACTATTTAATAACTGATTACTATTTATACTTTATAGAACATACACATTCTACTGTGCAATATTTGGTTCTGTTCATAGTACACTTCATAGTTACATATTAAAGGCAATCCTTTACTTAGGTAAAATAGGGATATATAAAACACTTTAATACACTCACAATATACTATTCGGTAAAGACAAACTTTCTTAAGAAAATCTGAATGTATTATTATCCAAATCTATACTATTTTTACTATAATACACTATCATTCTTACTATTGCCTCCCTGGAAAAGTATACAAGAACTTGGCTGAGGAATTTGGCCTTGTTATTTTTCCTTAACAGCTTTATTCACCAAGATGGAGATGTAATGACCATGTCATGTTGTTTGTGATGGGGTTGAAAATAGTGCATTTGCTCAGAATAAGAGAAGTGGTCTGTGGTATTTATCTTCTATTTATTTTTTCTAAAATGTAGGTTGTTCTCTGAAAATGAGTATGCAAGACTGTTGATTTCTTCTCTCGTCATTGTTTGAAATCCAGCCAATAATTGTAGTGTCATCTGCAAACTTCACAACAGAGTTCACTCGATGTCAAGGGCTGCAGTCATGGGGGATCAGCGTGAACAGGAGAGGGCTGAGGCTGAGCACACAGCCCTGGGAGGGTACTGTTCAGCAGGACAGTGGAGGTGTGACCACCGATCCAAACAGCCTGAGGTCTATTTGTGAGGAACCCATTATCCAGTTGCAAAGTGTGGTAATACCAGGGTACTAAGTTTGCCAATCAATTTCATAGTAGAGATTGTGTTGACGTGTGAGCTTAGATCTATAAACAGCACTCGGATTTGTTAAGGAGTAAGAAGAATTTTCTCAAAAGAGAAAAATGAACACCCAAGACATTATTTACCAGACAGGAAGGGTATGATACATGTAATATGGAAAGTATTTTAAGCTGTCAGACAATGTACAAGTCTATGAAAGTAGTGAAATATAAGTATGACATTGCAAAGAATGCACATACTCAAGTAAAGTCCCTCGAATTGTACTTAAGTAGCCTGCATTACATGAGAGTACTTATATTGCTCTTATTGAAACCATGGTTGAAACAAAGTGATCCATTCACATGCTGAACCGACCAAAGTTGATATTCCTACATTTCCCAGACTGCAGTGCGTCACCCCGAACCCCGCCCTTTCCTCTGCCAAACTTTGGTTGTGTCGACTTTCTGTTTTGCGCTGAGACTGCAGAGATTTGATGGTCTCAGCTATGTGAGTTGGTGCAGACACAACCTCGCCCTGCACCACCACTGGCTCTTCTAATCTTCCTCATCATCTTCAAAACAGGAAACAGTTCATGTGTTTGTTTCGCCGTCCTTTTCCAGGGAGAAAGATGTCCGTTGGCTTCTCCGGGCCAGAGCCAGTTTAGGAAGATCTCCAGGAAAACGCCAACGCTTGTTGTCGTGCTCGGGTTGTCATTCGGAGGCAACTGTCATCTCCGGGCACCATTTGTTTACCCGCAGAGCTGTATGGCTGTGAATCGGGGCAGTGGGCTGTTTCCGTGGAGTTAAAGGCGATGCGTGTTGTGCCAGGCCAAGGCGGGGACGGACTGGAGATGCCATCTGGCTAGCAGCGCTAACGGTGTCTGGACCACGGCTAGGTCACAAAACGCACAATATTTAGCACATTAGTCGGCAACACGTGACTGTGTTTATTATTTTATTTTTAAGACACTTATTTGTCTGAAGTCAGTCAGACAGTTGGTGTTAACAAAGAAAGATGCCGACATAGCCATTACTTTGTTCGCTAACCGATTAAACGCAAATGAAGACGTCAAGCTAGTGCTAGTCGGCTTCAACATCATAACAACTAAAGACACATGCACAGCGTAATTCACGGACACAAACACTGCAGGGTTGAATGTCCAGCACTAATACACTAATGTTAAACTGACTACAAGTGAAGTATTGCACAGCCTAGCAGGTGTATGGACACGCGTCATGTTTACTTAAAGGGGAGATAACTGCAAAGACTTTTGAGCACCTCAACTGATTTGGTTGTTTGGCACCTGCTAACCGTGTAAATCACAACAAGGGGAAGACAGCCGCTCTATCTGTTCACCATGGAGGGAAATGTGCAACAACAGAAAACCACTCCTTTAGCTCGGGAACTAACAAGGACATTTAACAGCTACAACAAACACACCATACAGCTGAAGAAGAACCTGAAGGAGACCAATGCCTTCTTCCGGGAAATCAGGCAAAATTACAGCAATGCTTGTGCATCGACCATGAGCTCGGAATCAGCTTCTTTCGAGGCAGGTAGGTTTCAACACATGCAGCAACACCTGAACATGTGTAACCATGTTTAAAGCAGCATATGGTACACTTCTGCATCACAAAGAAAGAGCTAATACGTTTCTACTGCCAAGTGATTTCTCCATCAACAAGTAGACTGGAAAATGCGTTAATTGGGGTTAGGGAAAACTAAAGGGATTAAACCCCCTCTGAAAAGCACGAGTAGACTAAGTGCACCAAATATGCAGGAATCTCTGCACTCATTGGCTGGCTGAGAGCTTGGTTGGCTGGTTAGGTTTTTACTTTAGGCTGTGGACACATTTGTATCATTTCAGGCACCTTTCAAATGATCATACCCCACCCCTCTTTTTATTTTGTTTCACACTTCTCCATTACAACCACCCAGATGAGTGGTTTTAAACCATGTTTCAAAGCTCCCTGTATCACATATTATGAGTGAGCTGTATTGATCATATGATAAAGATACTTTCACATCTGCATGAGTAGCTATGTCAGTCAGAGCTGGTGTACTGTACACCGAGAAAGTCAACATACATTTTCTCAGTGTTGAATGAACAATGTTAAGCTGAAGATTAGATATTATTGACAGAGAAATGCTGCGTTTCATAAGAAAAACCAAACACATGTCTTCACCTGCCAAACTAGAGTCATCTTGCAAATGAATTTGGACACAAAGGGACAACATATGATGTTAAAGGATCATTCAATAGTTCTTCATCTGATATTTTGGTTTTGGTGTGTAGAGGTCATGCTGTCATACTTCAATGCATCGTGTGCTAGATTGAATTGACAATACATTCACATATCTGTTAGAAAGAAATGCACTTTTATATGAAAGACATGTTGGCCATATCTACTCTATTTGTTATATAACTGTTTAGACTGTGACTCAGCATTGCTGGGGATTAGTTGTGATGCCCTCTGTAAGAAGGTTTAATCAGTTCCTCTGTGTGCACTTCACATGTAAAGGCTAGATCAGAAAACAATAGCCCCAAGGACATTTAAAAACAAATCTAAATTGAATCTTTTGTTGATATTGTAAGTCATCATCAGATACAAAATAAAAACTATAAAATAATTTTACACCCTATTTACGACTTGAAATTTGACCAAATCCAAAGAAAGCTCACTTACTAGTAGACAGGGTTGCTTAAGGTTACTGAGGAGTAAGGTAAGGCATCAATGATCAGGCAACCAATCAATTAGTCGTAGATAATCGATTTATCAGTCGAGTAACTGTTACATATTGTATACCCCGTTTATCTAGGCCCTTTTTAGTTTTATGTATATATGTCACACATATATATATGACTGCGGGAAACGGTATCTCGAGATTTCTGTATGTATAACACATGTAGACATTTTGACAATAAAGCTGACTTTGACTTTGAGATTATCGTAGGAAACTTAACATCTTTGTGTAAAAAATTGACAAAACAAGAATTTTAAGCCAACATCTTGGAAAATTGCCATTGTCACTTTTCACCTCATTCTTACATTTTGACAACATTATCAATAGAGCAAATAATCTGCAGATAGATACATAATGAGAAAAAGTGAGTTACAGCCCTACTGAGAAAATCCTTTTCTTTTGTTCTGTCCATTCCCCCAGGCCAGCTCAGCTGCATCTCTTTCCCCAGCCATGAGGAAGAGTTCCTGCGCAACACTGTGGGCGCTGCCCCGTACATCCTGGTACTGGGCCAGGACTGTGCCGCCCGCTATCAGCTGCTCAACTGCCTCCTGGGGGAGAGGCTGCTGCCCCTGGGCCCTGAGGCCGGACAGGCTTGTGAAGGAGTCCAGGGCACGGTCTGCAAGAGGCGGAAGCTGTGTTTCACCCACGGGAGACAGACCCGGCTCAGCCTGGCGCTGCCCGGCCAGTACGAGCTTGTTCACCAGCTGGCAGCTAACTGTGGCCGCTGGGATACCGTGCCCCGGGAAGACCTGGAGATCCATGAGGAATGTGAGGACCCGGCCCACAGGCTGGCAGAGCTGGAGATCACCCTGCATCACCCACTGCTACAGGTAGGTTTCACCTCGCTGCAGACACCCACTGGATCTAATGGTTGTAGTACAATGTCCTCTCAAGGGCTAGATAAAGAGCCTATAAATATGTTTACGTGGTAGTCCTACTGCTATTTCTTTGTTGGCTCTTCATGTACTTCATGTACATGTGTGGTGTTCCCTTAAAAACAGGAAAGATGATTTTTTTCCCCTATCCTTGTGTCTGGCTTAAACCAGCCTTTTTGTTCAATACATAGTTAAGCTGGCAGATGACTGAGCAGAGCTGATTATTTCCTGTGTTGTTCAGTGTTTAACCCGAATCGTGCTACTGCAGAAATACATCATTCTCCAGTTGTTTTTGTCTTGTTTAGGTTTGATCGCTTCTTAGAAACGGATTCACAGGTTATTGTGCGGTAACATGGAAATAGGAAGAATCTTTGGACACAGTGAGGCAGTCATCCTGGTATTCAGCCAGTGTGAGCTGAAAGTCACAATATCTTCAGGGAGGGAATTGATTTAGCATGGTGTAAGGATTGTAGTCATTCCTTATCATGTGTGACACGTGGAAATGAGTCTCTAATCCTTTAGTCCAAGGCCCCTTCGCAAGCATCACACAGCCCCAGAAAATAGGCCTAACTCTGCCTGGGGGCCGCCCGCCCTGCCCCCTTACGTAATGCCACTGGTATGGTGCGATTCACATGACCAGGTCATGTTAAAAATCCCAAACCCTTTGCTGTGATGAATTTGCCATGGTTACAACTGACATCTAGGACACATTGTTACAAAAAATGTTACCGTGTTTTAATAACAAAATAAAAATGTTTTTAGTTAGTGTTTTGTGTGAGCTGTGCTAACAAAGACCTATTCACCACGTATTTCAATCCAACATTTCTGCTACTAAAATCAATTTATACTAATGTTGACTAACATTATTGCCATAAACAATGAATGGATCTTTAAAATGTGTACGAGACAAAAGCGCGGCAGGCAGTACGTGCCTGATTAACGTTATTGAATAACTCAATTCCTGGTGGATTCTTGACTTTATTGTATTTAATGCTTTGTTAAATGTGTGTACATTTCTTGGTAAAACCCATAGCATGGAGTTTGCATGACTTGCCTCATTCAGACTCAGACAAGCAATGTGTTGGCATTGCTTGGTTGAATAAATAAAGCTTTAACATTTTTAAAACTTCTATCATTGCTACTCAAAGATACATATCTAAAAACCAGAAGCGTGTTATAGATTAATACTTGGAACCAAAACGTCAGTGCTTGAAGCCATTTCTGACCCCTGTTGATTTTCACGTGTGACTGAGATGCGTGGGGACCTGCTGTCCCTTATTTGTGATTTACATGGTGAAATATAATGAAATCATCTTCAAGTCAATATTTGCATATCACTTGGATAGTTGTGAACAAAGGTTTGTCATAAACCAAAGCAGTTTAAATCTACCCTTTTAGTTTTCTTCTGACTGAATCAAAGGAACCTGTCTCAGTTGGAGTATACTAAGGCACAGAATCTCTCTGCTCATTGTGGTATTCACACACTCCTGCCATTATCACAGCAACCTGCTTTAGAGGCCGACTTGCTAATTATCCTTCTCTCCATCCCAGAGTCAACCCGTGCTTCTCAACTCAACATTAGCAACAAGAGGACCTAAAGGGTGCTCTGCTATCACCTTGTTTCTAAAAAGGTGTTGAGGTCCATCTTGTCTTTTGTGCATTACTCAAGTAATGAATACAAACAAGTCTGCTTGGTTAACGAAGACCTGTTGAATTAGCAATTACCCTTAAAATATGCTAACAGAAGAAAACTGTAATTTCCTACGTGGCCATGAATGAATGAATGATTTGCTCTGTAGGGCAGGCTCAGATCGGGGCATTAATGCAAACTCAACATTTTCTCAAAGTGTTCTTTTTGAAAACTGACAGCATTAAATCAATTTGAACATTGTACATGGGTTTTGAAACGAATGTTTGCAAGCTATCTTTGTTCCAGAGAGACTGCTCAGGCTCTGCTCTTGTTTCTTGGAGACAGGACTGACTGTCTCCTTTGTCTAGCTGTTGGTCATTTTGTCTCTTTTCTCTGGCTGCCTTTTCCCCGGCATTGGTCTCTCCTCTCAAGCTGAGAATATTTGTAGTCAAAGTTGTTTTTCATCAAGGGTTAAGAAAGTGTTTTTACTTGTCATGTCCCTGCCCTGCTGCAGACATTCCCAAGACCATCACAAATATTGATGTGCCATTAGTTGTTCAGAAATAGAAGGAGCATGTGATGTGTGTACATGTTTTCTTCCCTTTGCAGATGAAGATGTTTAAAACATCATTTAGTTTTAACACTTGTACACGGAATATACCTTAGGTTAAGCTTTGTTTTGTGTCAAGACATTAGACATTGAAAAGCTAAATCTGAGTATGTTTTTCTAGTGTTTGTAGTAGGCATGAAACAAAATGAAAAAATCACGTCATAACTGTGGTCAAATGTATTAAACACATAATTGATAAATACATGTAATAGTTCAAATACAATTTAATTTGAACGACCCTTAAGTCAGAACAAAAACTCTTTCAAAGAAAAGGCTCATAATGTTGTTGTTTAAACGCTCTGAGCAAGGAAATGCAACACATTTAGTTTTCACATTGCGACTTATATCTCATCAACACATCGTAATCATTAGAACAATTGTAGAGGTCTGCGCTGCTTTCTACGGGGCCATTTTAGTTCCTGTATTTGATAAATCTGGCTATTTGTTCCTTTCTTTATTGTGGTTACGAACTACAAAGCTTTTTACAAGTAACATTTCATATTTTTGTGTGGTTTGTCCTCAGGAAGCAAAGGTCATGGTGGTGCCTTGCCCGAGTGTCCAGCCTATAGAAGAGGTGCTGGAAGACTTCACCCGGGGAGTGGTCCCCATCATACTTTATGCCATCAACCAGGACTCTCTAAGCACAGAGCAGGTGGCAGAGCTCTGGAAGGTCAAAGAGTTGCTCTCCTTCCCCATTTGTTTTGTCCGTATCCCTGACATTATCCCAGCAGCCTCACCAGAGTCCGGCCGCCGTGGGGAGAAAGAGAAGGAGAGGGAGAAGAGCGCCCTCCATAAGCAGCTGCTCTCCCTCGGCCTCCTCTGTGGCCCGACGGCAAACTGCCCCTGTGGGGCCCCTACACAGACACCCGCCCCTGGTGCCAAGCCCCAGAGCGTACTGGGTGAGGCTTTCGAAAGGCTCCATCGGTTACTGGTGCCTTTTGCTCGCCTGGTGCTTCAGAACCAGCAGGTGGAGGCTGCCAACCTGCTTAATGGGGTCCACTGTCGCTGTCTAGATCTTTTCATCAACCAGGTCAGAGGATAGTGCTGTTCATCTGTATGTCTGTTGTGCTGCATTCTCATGAACTGATTTGACCTGGTATGCCCATAATAAATCACCATCAGACCTTATCGTTTCTGCTCCCCTCCTCTGCAGGCCTTTGACATGCAGAGGGACCTGCAGATTACACCCCGCAGGCTGGAGTACACCCGTGAGAAAGAGGGTGAACTTTTCACCTCCCTTATGGCCATCGCTAACCGTAAACAAGAAGAGATGAAGGAGATGATTGTGGAAACGCTGGGCAGCATGAAAGAGCAGCTGCTGGAGGACGCTGCCAACCTGGAGTTTACAGGTGAACGCCCTGGATACACGCTACAAGTCACAGGTTTCCTCTTCTGTTGTGTTGTCGTATTATATAAGAAGATAATATGTTAATAAGTGGTGGATCGCACAAGTAGATCGATATTAAAGTAGCAGTCAAGTACTGCTGTGGATGAGGGCAGCAGCAAAAACAGTTTTAGCCAATTAAAAGAAAGGTCCACCATGAGAAATCATTGTGACTGATGTTTACATCGTTAATAGGTAGAAAATGTCAACTACAGTACAACACAATGTGATTCACAAAAACTCTCGTGATTAGGTGCAAAAGAAAACAAATGAAGCCAATGGAATAAAACAATTACAATAAAATAAGACAGCTACAAAATACAAAAAGAAGAGTTGCAGTGTAAGAAGCGAATACTTATTAGGGGTCGATTATCGGGGCCCATATTCGGCATTTGACCGATTATCGGTATCGGCCTTTTTTGATCAAATTGCCGATAAAACTTTGGCTCTGATGCGGCCGTTTCTCTGGCTGCAGTCACCACTCATTGGGGGGGGGGGGCTACTAGACTAACGTTAGGTCTACTGTAATAGCCTCACTTTTAATAGTTTGTAAAACATTAGCTAGCACTAGTGTTTTGCAGTTGCTAGCAGCTTATTGGGATTTTATGCTAGATAGACAGGCATTGTTTTGATATAATAAATTAAGCATTATTGTTAGTTAAGCATGTCAGCCTGCAGCCCCACTTCTTGTCTCTCTCTAACTCATTGCAGATGACTGCACTAAAGAAAAGGGCACAGAGAGGAAACCAGTTGTAAGATGTTTAAAAGTTCATTAAACATAATATATGTTTAAATGCATTTCAAAGAAGTTGTGTTGGAGTTTGTGTTGTTCTACATTTTGACACCAAGATTTTCTGATTTTACTGCAAATGTATATCGGTTCCAAATATCGGTTATCGGTCTCCTTGATTACTAATAATCGGTATCGGCCTTGAAAAAGCCATATTGGTCGATCCCTAATACTTATTATACGACAGGAAAGACAAACAGAAAAGTCTTCATCCTTGATTCAAAAGAAGTCAGAGACAGAGATTCTGCCACTGCCTGTGTTTAAGTAGATGTCATGATACAACTTGATAAGATCAGTCTCAGTTCCGTTGTGTGTTCAAGAAACCTGACTGGAAGGCATCAAGACAGAAGTTTAGTGCAGAGAAGTTGCTATGTTTTAGACAAACATCGCTTTTGAATTCATTTCCTTAAAAAAGTGATGTTGATGTGGGCTCTTAATCGTTCATTAGTGATGTGCCATGTTTGTAGATGTTCTTTTTTTAAGAGTTGCTTATCGAGAGAAGATCGTGTTTACAATTTGTAGAAGATATGAGATCATGCAATTTAAAATATTTTTGAAAAAGCCTGCAGGAGGCTTTCAGATACTGTATAATGACCTCATTATGGTTAATTGGAAAAAATGGTGTCATGGTATTTAAATTGATCCTGAAGTGCACACAGGTTCAACACACATCCGCATCTAACATTGAAGCACTGACAGTGTGTCTGATTTTCTGAATGTCAGTGAATAAGGAGGTCATTGTGTTGTAGTTATTCTTCAGGATTTCCCTCTGCTTGTTTGTCACGAATACCACATCTGACCTTCTTCTTTTAACTGCAGACATCATTGTAACAACCAATGGAGAGCCCTTTACGTCAAAGGAGATCAAATCTTGCATCCACCAGATCCAGGAGCTGATAGTGGTTCGCTTGAATCAGGCCGTGGCCAATAAGCTGATCAGCTCTGTGGACTATCTGAGGGAGAGCTTCGTAGGAACTCTGGAGCGATGTCTCAACAGTCTGGAGAAGTCACACATGGACACTTCTGTCCACAATATCACTTCCAATCACCTCAAGCAGGTGGGCACATCTTTGAAACGTCCTCTCGGTCTTTATGGTTGATTGGAAAAAATGGTGTCACAGTATTTCAAGTGCACACAGGTACAACACACATCCGTATCTAACATTGAAGCACTGACAGCATGTCAGATGTTCTGAATGTCAGTGAATAAGGAGGTCATTGTGTTGCAGGCCCTGTTGGATAGTGTCTCTGTGTGTTCGTAGAAAAGCAAACCAAAACAAAGGTTTCAATATGCTCTGTCAATTCCACTTGGCTTCAGTTCCACCTGCCTCCATAGACTACATTAACTGATAGCTTATGCCATGGCATTGGCTGCATATTTATCCACTCTTTTCATCTGCCACAGTTATTGAATGCTGCCTATCATGTGGAGATCACCTTCACTTCAGGATCCTCTGTCACCAGACTCTTCTGGGATCAAATCAAACAGGTCAGTGTCCAATACATTCAGCTATAAGAGTTTTCGCTGCATGGAGACCTCTGATGAAGTGTTCCTACTGTGTGTCTTGCTTCCAGATAATCCACAGGATAACGTTTGTGAACCCACCATCCATCACTCCAGAGTGGAAGCGTAAAGTCGCCCAGGACGCCATAGAAAGTCTCAGTGCTGCCAAATTGGCCAAAAGCATCTGCTCCCAGTTCAGAACGCGCCTCAACAGCTCCCATGAAGCCTTCGCAGCATCATTGCGCCAGGTGAGCCTTCCTTTTTCTTCATTTCTCTCTCTCAATGGCTGCAGCAATTTGCTCTGTATCATTGACACCAGGCAGTCACTTTCACCGAGCATATTCTTTAAGAAAAGTGTCATAACTAACACAGTAGACCCAAAGCATACCTTTTTTGAGTCGTTTACCTGCATTATTCCCACATTTTCTAACAATTTTCCAAACTAGAGAAATCCACAATTGTATTCAAAGGGATTGGTCCCCTTCCCTATGGTCGCCTGTTTTGGTGACGTGTCTTTAGAGCAGGGGTGCCCAACCAGCCGGTCGATCGCGGGGAGATTCCCAGTCGATCGCGAGATATGTCAACAACAATATTCTGTTTTATCGTTAATGTCCTATAACATAATCTTCCCGTGCCAGAATAATGCACTTGAACGCATCAAAGCTTTGTGATTGGCCGGCGTGACCCCATGTGTCGGGGCGTGGCTGGTGGGCAGTTGGCACTATTTCGCTGACGTTGTCCGTGTCAACAGGAGTGCCAGTCCGCACACACACAAGACCGCAATTATGGGAGAAGCAAGAAAGCCCAAAATATATAATTTTCACTCCGAGTGGGAGGATGATTATTTTTGTATCTATTCCAATTCAAAGTGCATCTGTCTCATCTGCAATGCGAGCGTGGCTTTATCGAAGAAGGGTAATTTAGGAGCGGCATTTCAAAACAGTGCACAAACGCTACGAGACGGAATTCCCTCCTAATTCTACCCTACGCTCCAAAAGGGGAGGGGCCTGAAAGGACAGCTAAATGCACAGCAGTCCATTTCCACCAGGCCCAACAACAAGAGCAAGGCTGCTCCCATAGCATCTTATCGTGTCAGTCACGTTTTTGCGAAAACACATGAAGTCTTTCAAAGACGGCGAAGTTGTGAAAGAAGCATTCCTGGAGGCTGCCGACGCGCTTTTTGGGGACAGTAAAAATAACAGTAGCATTTCAACAGGTTTTTGATATAATAAAAACTCAAGTTAGATACCGTTATTAATCAGCTGTAAGTTTTAGTTTGTTTGAACTTATTCATTATAATTATTGTACAAAATGGTATAAGAATGCAAACTTAAATTGATTATAGTCTATTATCAATTCAGGTTAAGAAACTAGTGTTGCTTGCATCCTATTTTAAAGGCATTTATTTTTATAATCTACTAAAATGCAACAAAAAAATGGTTCGATTCTATTAATTTAGTCTTTTTTATTGCACTTCGGCAGCAGATTCCTGAGTAGCTTCAGATCTGAGTTGTCTTATTAGTAAGCCTCATTTATACTTTTGTAGCAACACTATTTTTATATAATGGCAAAGAAAGGGTTCAGAGTCTTTTCTTTTTTCCTGTGTCATATGTGGCAGCACTGTTCAATGCTTCTTGAAAACATTACCCACTGTAGTGACGTGTGAATAAACTCCTGTATCAACAACACTGTTGTGTAACTTCAGTTAAATACTTGTATGTGTGTAGATTAGAAAGAGGTAAGATAAAGGATCTGCAGTATTTTATGAAGTATTAATCGTACAAAGGTCAGTTTTATACAAGTAGAAGTGTGTATTTACCTGGCAGTAGGCTCAGTAATGGCTACGCCTCTCTATTTGGACTGGTAGATCTCGGCAGACTGGCAAATTTAAAAGTAGCTCTCGGTTCAAAAAAGGTTGGGCACCCCTGCTTTAGAGCATTCATCAGTGTTGTGGTTGTCTGCCAGAAGCTGCCAGAAATTAAAAAGAAAAACGACCTGCGCAAAGGTTAGCGACGATTAACATTGATTTAACAAAAATATATATACTATACATATATTGCTGATAATATTGATGATGATGATATCGGCTAGTTTGGATAAAGCATTAGCATTAGCTGTCGAGAGCTGTTGTCTCTTCTCAGCCAGCGAATGTGTAAAACTGTAAATGATTTGAAATAGAGGGACATTAATCACATGACTACAATATGTGTGTGACCTCGCTGTTGATTCACATGAATGGTTTTAAAGCCTTTGCACCTTTGAGAGCCCTGGAGTATGATTTCTTTCACTTTCAAAATACTTTTATTATTAAATTGTATCAACAATTCTGTTATATATCCAATAAAATCTTCGGACAGCTCTTATTGTCTCAGGCCGCACACAGCTCGGTGTTCAGCCGTTGTTTCCCCTCCACTTGAATTGCATTGCCTTTTAAGCCTCAATGTGAGAATAGCTGTGACCCTCCATGAAGTATCTTGCAGATCAGTTGCAGTCAAATTGCTCTGATGCTAATTATCACATGACAGACAGTGTGGTTCACATCACTGGATTTATTTCCACGCTGGCCAATTCTTCATTTCTAAAAGAATATAGAAATAATTTATTGTAGCATTCACTTGGGGAAGAGCTGACAAAGAGAACTGCACAACAAGCCTCCTTTGATCACTCCATTAGAGGAGGAGGGGGTGATGATGTGTGGGTTTCGGGTTTTTTAAGGACAGAAGTATGCACTTTTCATTTTTTTAATTGACAGTGATTGTGTGCGGGGAAAATATTTCAACTTAATTAAATATGATTATATTTCTGTTATAATAGAGTTGGAATTAGAGCCAGTGGAGGCGAGATGGAAACTCTCAGTGTGTTGGTATGCAATTGAACCCTTCTCTTGCGTTAGGTCATACCCCCCTTCCAATGCTATTTTCGGTCAAAATTGACCGGTGTGTTTTGCACAGTGATATCTCTGGAACCCCTTATCCAATTTTGATGGTTGACATCTCATTTGAACAGTCAAAGCAAGTAGAATCAAGGTAGGACAGACAGAATGACACCAGGAGTGAATTTCATATTATTTTTGGCGGTAAGTTCAAAGATAGTGCTTATTTTACATTACTGTATATTATAAAAATGCTTGCCATGTAGGCTGTGTTTACTGGTGATGGAAATGCTTTAGTTAGTGTTGTAGCTGAGATTCTTCCCGTTCCAATGATGTATGGGATATATTGATTTGATACAAGCAAGCCAGTGTTTCATGTCATGGCCCATCAAGTTCAGCATTCACTGTGATGAATATAAAATAAGGCACTGATAATATTTTCCTCAATGAACATTTATTGAAAGAGAAATATACCATAACAGAACGTGTGTGTGCTCACGTGTGTTCACGTGTGTTCACGTGTGTTCACGTGTGATCACGCACATGATTGGCAATGCAAAATTGTGGAATGTCACCTCAGGCTCCTCTCCCTCAGGGGCTTCTATCTCAGGGGCCTCTCCCTCAGGGGCTTCTTCCTGGTCTGTTGTAGGCTCATAGTCTGGATCACTGTTGTCTTCCATTTCTGAGACATCTTCCTCTATCTCCTCTTCATCTGGTTCAATCTCCTCTTCATCTGGTTCAAAAATGTGTCCAGAGCCCCTCATACAGAAAATCGCCTAATCGGTCGCCTGCTCATTGTGTCAATGAGTCAAATGTGAGCAAGGCACAAGTATAACTGCTTGAGAGCCAGTAATGGAGGCGCATTGAGCGCGAGAAAGTGAGAGGTTTGTGTTTCTCGAGGGGCACAGAGCTGGCACCTGTGAGAAGGTATGATACATTGTATCATACAGCCGAGAAAGGGAGAAGTTCCTGTAACGTGTGTGTGTGTATAGATGTTTTCCATCTGCAGGATGAACATAATACACTCATACCCATTCATTTTCTATGGCGGTCAAATCTGACCGAAAACGTCAAGGGTGTTTCACTGTTGAATAAATCACTCAAAATTCAATGCAAGTGGTGATCATCAAGTGTATATGTTCAGAGGCCTAGTGTGGAGGATAACATAAGGTAATAAAGGTATTGAGGCAATCGGATGAAAAACACAATATTTATGATTAAAATAAAAGTCATTCGGTCACTTTTGACCCGAAACGCAAGAGAAGGGTTAAATGGAGAAGGTGTTAGGAATTTTAAATGCAAAGTGTGAAGCAGGGATTAATATCAAAGGAAAACAAAGCCTTCCTGGTCCCAAGAATGTAAGAGCAGGGTCCTTTTTATCCTGAAAATAATACATAACAAGGCACTTATTCTTATCTCCCGAGTTGCAATGTAGGTCAAATTCCCAGGCCCAGTTTTTACCCCCCTGTTTTTCTACCCTGCCTGCTACCGTACGTTAAAGATTCTGGGTTCAAGTCTTATTTATTGCAAAGCACTTCACAGCCGCCTGTCTGCAAACTGTCTGCAAACTGTCTGCAAACTGTTTGCACCGCATAGGAACCAACACAACATGCAAATGTGAGAGTGACTTTTCATTACTTGAATAATAGATGAATACATAAATGGAGAACAAAGTTCTAAACAGTTCCTCTTTATATGGTGTTTCTATTATTACCTATGTTGCATGTCAATATCTGAAAAGTTGTGGAGGAACATGGAAACTGCTGTTTCAGCATGTTTTGAGATACAGCCCGTGGCAGCCACTGGCTGGAGAAAGCTGTCTATTATATTGCTTTCACAGAAATGTACGTTACAATCTTCAACTGAAGTTGTAAACTTAGCCTAGTCTGACACTATGTCCTCTGACTCCCTGGACACTGAGCAATTAACCTCAGCCTTTCTCTCTTCCTGCACTGGAGCTCTTGACATTGTTGCTCCCCTGAAACTCATGCGCCCCAGAGCTAAATCTGAACCCTGGCTCAATGACGCCACTCGTGCTGCCAGGTGTGAGTGCCGGCAGGCTGAGCGCAGGTGGAAGAAGGACAAGCTTCATGTAACTCATGACATTTTAAAAGAGAGTTGGAGAAAGTGCATCAGAGCATTGTAAAGGCTGAAAAGATTAGTTATTTTACTGATATTATTTCTAGTAATTTAAACAAACCTTGTGTTCTTTTTAAAACCATTGATGCTATGTTAAACTCTCCTTTATCCACTTGTATTGAAGCTTCAACTGAGGTGTGTGAAAAAGCTATTTTATAGACGAGATCTCCACTATTAGAGCCTGTATCTCACCACCCTCTTTTGACCCCTCCATTGACATCACATGCACTGCTGTCT